GCCCCTCTCTCCTGCCCAAACGTGAGGGCACTAATGTAGTAAAATATTCCGACCCCCTCCTTTAAAAAAAACATTTTGCATCGTTATAACTTTTGTAATTTACGATATTTTTTAACGAAAATTTAAATTCTGTTGATAAATTTGAATTTAGCTTTAGATCGTTAAGTTAAAAATTTCACTACACAAGTGCCCTCACGTTTAAGCTGGAGGGCAAGCGTTTCAGGGCTATTTGTTCCCAGGTCTCCGCCATCCCAATTTTTTGCAAGGTCTCCTCATTTGGCATAGGTATATCATACTTAAGTTTGGAGTTTGCATAATGTGTGAAAATGTCTTATCTGGAACATCAAAAAACCCTGCAGGCACCCATACACACATGCCATCATTTATATACTGGCCCTGAGTAAACTCAAGGCTGCCTGAAATACGCTTTACTAGTTGCGCGTATTTTAGGCAACTAATTTTTTGAGTCGACAATAAACAGGTTTCAGCAGTGCCATGGCTAATGGGTTGGAGATCCCCCTTCCCCCTCAAAAAAAAAAAGACGTGTCTTTAGGGTCTCAAAATCTTCCAAATTTTACCGCTAGGTTTTGTTAAAATAAAAAGCTCTTTTAAATAGCAAAAGAGCACAAAATTTGCTGCTCTGAAACAATACCCACCCCCTCTAATTACGGGGTATGGGTAGCCTACACTCGGCACTGGGTTTTAGGCTTTGTTTTCAATATTACTCTTCTCGCGTAAGACTCACTTTTTTTTTTTTTATGTTGATTTTAGGTGCCCCAAGAAGTCCTTACGGTCTTATCACAAAGCACCGCGGAAGAGCATTTAATAGGAAGTTCACGCCTCCTTCCCAACCGATGTCGCAAAACTTGCCCAGAGGCGGGGTTTGAACCACGGATCTTACGTTTCTGAGGCAAGTGTGCTACCACTACGCCACGGCTGCTTTTTACGGACTTACTAATGAGTGGTGCATGAAAAAAAGTCTGCCCTAAGTATAGTTTATTTTTATTGGATGCGTCTCATTAAACAAAAAAAGTAAAATGGGACTTTACCGAGAATCGATCTCAAGTCTCTGCCGACACTAAGGCATAACATTCACCATCTATTAAATTACATAATTTAACTTTATTGAAATTATTATTTGTGTACCAAGTTCTGATAGCATAATAAAACGGCAAGATGGCTACCATCACAAGCAATTAATATAACTTTGACACCATCACTAGACAGTGCTTGAAAAAAAGTCTGCCCTAAGTATAGTTTATTTTTATTGGATGCGTCTCATTAAACAAAAAAAGTAAAATGGGACTTTACCGAGAATCGATCTCAAGTCTCCGCCGACACTAAGGCATAACATTCACCATCTATTAATTTATCATTTTTTTAATTTATATCTATAAATTTATTATATCATAAATTATATTTATATAAATTATTATATCATAATTTATCATCTATCAATTTATCATTAATCATAAAATTAAATTACATAATTTAACTTTATTGAAATTATTATTTGTGTACCAAGTTCTGATAGCATACTAAAACGGCAAGATGGCTACCATCACAAGCAATTAATATAACTTTGACACCATCACTAGACAAACGCTGAATACAGACTCTAATAAGATAAGCTCTAATGAGATATATACAAACATAAATAAAATTAAATATATATATATTTATTATATACGGTAAATATACATTTACTATATACTGCCTAAGGAGGCTTTGGGTTGATTTATACAACAATCCGCTTTATATAAAAGATACGAAAAATTTTATGATATCAAAAAAAACCTTAAATAAAGAAATAAGAGAACTTTATGATGTAATTATTATTAACTGTATCAATTTTAACTTTCATATTTTTTAATATTACTTGAACATATTATATTATTATATTACTATCATAAATTAATTATATTTCTATCATAAAGCTATGCTATGCTAAAGCTATTGCCTACTATCATAAAGCTTGCTATCAGTAATTTGATTAAGTTTTTTAAATTAGGATCCTTTGCCGCAAACAAATGGGGTGTTATAAATACTTTATACGTTTTAGATACTTTTAAAGTATCTTCGGTACCACTTCCACTTTTTTTTTTTTTCAATAAAATTTTTTATTGAAATAAAAAAAAATTAGGGAGAGGAGGTATATGAAAAACGAACGTACTTTTTAAGGGAGGTGCGGATTTAAAAGTACGCATGGCAACAGGGGGAGGGGGTGGCAAATTTCAGAATTTTTGGCGTACGTACTTAATGGACGACACCTAATGAGTTTCAGAATAATTCTTTTTACTAACACCCTATAAATAAAATTTCAGACAAATTTTAATTGCATTTTTTATGTAATTTATTTCTTGCACGCAAAAAACCTTTATACTTATTTGAAAGAGGAACTTATAATCTATTTAAATTTAATTTAGTTAAAAATATTTAAATATTAAAAATAAAATGGTCAAAGAAAAGGACCTCGAAAAAATGATGGAAGTTTTTTTCCAAAAAAATCGAGAAAAAGGTAAAGTGTTTGTTGCTAAGCAGTTTATGGAATGGGGTTTACCCAGATCAACTGCTTACGATAAAATCGTAAAACTGGAGAATGGATCTTTAAAAAAAAAAAGTTGGAAGTGGTCGAATCGCTAAGGTACTAAAGAAAACAAGCTACTAAAGAAAATATTCCAAAGATTGCTGTATTTTTTGAAAATAAGTCAGGGTGCTCCCAAAATAAAGTAGCTCAAGTTTTTAACTGTAGTTGAATTTCCCAGTATTAAAAACAATGACTAACATTTGAACTTTCATATAAATAAATCGCCTAGATCGTAGCCATCAGCAGAAGAAAGCTATGTATCCTAATTGTCGTAAATTGTACAAAAATTATAAAAACTTGGATTTTGTTATGAACGATGAAAGCTATTTTACCTTAAACAATAGCACATTAGCTAGTAATGATAGGTTTTATGCCGCTGATCTTTCTCAATGTTCTGACGAAGTAAGATACAATTTGCATAAAAAGTACGAGGACAAGCTCTTAGTTTCTTGTTGCATCAGTTCCCGTGGAATAATCCCTCTTTATATTCATCACAGTAAGCAGGCAATCAACCAGTACACTTATAAAGAAGTACTAGAAAAAAATTTACTTCCTCTAGTATTAGAATATTATAAAAAGGACAATGAGTTTATCTTCTGGCCTAATCTAGCTCGATCACATTACGCAAAGCCGGTCATCGACTTTTTAAAATTGAAAAAAATCAAAGTTGTACCCAAAGATATAAAACCAGCTAACGTTCCAGAAGCATGACCAATTGAAAACTTTTGGGATGATTTAAAACGGCTTGTGTACGAGAATAATTGGAGAGCTGAGAATTTGGAAGAAGAAGCAAGAACTAGATATTGATATTCAAAAATGAATAAAGAAATTTTTCTTACTCAAATAAAACATCTTTCAAAAAAACATATTTCTAAATATGGTATTTGAAAAAACTATTTTAATATATTTATAAACTACATATACTAACATATTAACAGCTGAAATATTAAATAATAAAACTTATAAATTCTTAAAATATTAATTTTCAAATCTTGTCCAAAATTTTATTTATGAGGTTTTATTTAATAATAAATAATAATAATAAAAATTCATTTTTAAAAAAAATTTTATTTATGCAATTTTTCCTATTTTTTCTTGGAATAACAAATATATAAAATGTGTATTGATTTTCTGCATTTAAATCAACACAATTTTTTGTAGAATTTTGAAACAAATGGTCTAAGAATTCCAACTACGTCAAGTCTATAGAACATTTTATTGAATCGCAATTGGTAGTCTAAAGAAACCTCTATTTCTATAGGCCATGTTTCAAAATTCCTATAGAAAATAGTATAAGTTTTTTTATTTTGTTAATTCACCTCCTCAAGGCCAAGAAGGCCACTACAGGCGAGGAGGCTACTTAATAGTGGTTATAACCCTCTCTCAACTCTATAACTCCGAAACACGAACCTTGACAAACAAGGCCGCTGCGCGGAGAAACAAGTTGAGCGCGGTACTACCAGGGACGTGGTGAGGATCGAACTCGGAACTTCTCGCTTATGAAGCGAGTGTTTTACCACTACAACACTACCGCATGAGTTATTTTTATAGAAAAACTATACAAATTTTGTTATGGGGTAGGGTAAAAAATTAATGACAATTCCATTTTTTTACTTTTAAATTGTATTCTTAACAGTTTAAATACTGTTTGAACAGTTTTACTTCTCGTGGTTGTCTCTGAGTTGCCAAATAATCTGAAGCAACAAAATATTCTTCAATCGCAACAGTCCAAGTTCATAAAAAAACTGGACCTTAACCCTAACCCGATAAAAAAATGTTATAACATTGACCCCTGGTTGCAAATGTTGCAGATAGGTCATTATTGAACGCTGAATATCAGATTATGAACAATATTTTTGGGATTAAAAACAGAGTTAGCATCATTTTATAAGCTCATAGCATCATCTAAAAGCCAACAAAACTTTACATAAAGATTTCTATGTGCCTTTTTTATATTGTAACAATTAAACATTCGACATTGTTGTCTTCATTCATTGTTTTTCCGCTATTTCTGTGTTCCGCTGTTTCTGTATTCTTTATAATTACAAAATATACATCATTTATATTATTTATATTTTATGATTAAATTTATTTATATAATTTTTAAACTGTTTGTTTTTGTTATTATTTATAAATTAAAAGTTTAGTTTCTTAACTCTTTAAAAATAAACAATAGATAGAACTCTCTCATGCAACGAAAAGTAGCAGTTATAAAAACTGCGAAATAAAAAAACCACGCACCAACATGCCATTAAAATGAAATTATTTTATTTTTAATTTGATTTAAATTAAAATATCTGGGTATGGCTTTATAACTTATCCTTATTATAAAATTATTTTTAACATAACATACATTATTTCTAGGGGTTATATATACCCTCGTTATTCAAGTAATAAAAAAAAACACCTGATATCCGATAATAAACAAGAATACTTTATAATAATTTCATACTTTATAATGTAACAACATATGACTGAGACATTCATGTGTAGTCATAGTAAGAGAGAATAACAAAAAAAAACATTAAACCGTATAAATTGATTCATGCGTCAAAAAAGAAAGTATTAAAAAGGAAATCAGTTATCCTTTTATTATTTATCAAATCGCAATAAACTTCACTTAGGCAAAAAAAACAACAAACAAACAAACAAAAAACAAAACAAAAAAAACATAACAACAACAACAATTACAAAAAAACAACAGAAAAAAAACTAGTTTTTATAAACAAAATATTTACAAATAAAAACAACGTAAATAACAAACTTGTAATAAATATTTATAAATTTTGTGATACGAGACAACTCAGCCTGTTGATAAAATGCACTGCTATTGTTACATTATTAGTAAACACGGACGAAGCCAATCAAAATATTTTTGGAATGTATATGTTTGGCGGAGTCTATAAAAAATATTACTATTAGCCTTAGTAAACAGTTTTGAAAGAAAATTTACTATACAAAAAATCTGAATTAATTTCTAAATGCAGACATGAAAATAAGTAACATTAAAAAATTATATAAATATAAAAATTAAATATATATATATATATATAAATATATATATATATATATATATATATATATATATATATATATATATATATATATATATATATATATATATATATATATTATATATATATATATATATATATATATAATAATATTTTTTTCAAAATCGAACAAAAACTCCCTCACCGGTGCAAATTAAAATTTGATCCCAGCAGTACAAAAATACAAAAAATTCAAATTTTTGCATATATATTAGGGGCAGGGTCACTTAATATCATTTTAAAAATACCATGAGAATTATTTTTGTAGCTTGATTTATTTTATTTTAGATTATGCTTTATTTTTTTGGTAAAAATGATGGAATTGGTCGATCTTACCCGTTTGAAATTAAGTGTATACTTGGGAGGTTGGGGGTGGTTTTTAGGGCGCTTGTTTAATTTTTTTTTTTAATATACCTAAAGTATAAAACATTTTTATAATTGTACATTTTTTCAAAGAAAGACTATTTTAACGTTTTTATCCAAGATTTGTTATCTGTTGTTTTAAATTTTAAATAGTGATAAGCTACAAGTTTCTGAAAGTTTCAATAAAGTATTGACTAATAGCACATTCTGCACTGTAATGTAAAATCAAAAGGCAAGTGGCAAACGTTCTTCAATATTTTTACCTTAAAATATTTTCTTTAGAAATTGAAATATTCCAAAGCCATCAAAGCTTCACAAACTGTTGATTATAACAGAAATTTTGCACTCAGTGCAGACAAACCTGTTCCAAATCGTAATTCCATAGGAAAATTTTTCTCAATACTTTTTTGATATAAATTAAGGAGCAACATCAGACTTTTTAAATTTTCTAAAAGACTGGAGATACTGTTTATCTTATTATCTCCTTTATTATCTTATTATCTCCGTAAGCATCTAAATATTTTATTTTCTCCTCAAATTTTTCACTAACCAACCTTTGCTTGTTTCCTAATGGATTCTTATAACCTTTAAATTTTTTCTCCACTTTTTATCTTACGCAACATTTTTTAAACATGTAATTTTTCTCAATGATCTTTTCTGATCATTGAGAAAAATTACATCTTCATGTCTACTTTTTAAAATTTTTGTTTTATCTTTCAAGATAATATCTTCACAGTTTTTTTAATTTTCATCAAATACATCCTCCTTTTTTAAAAACTGCCTTTTCGCCTATATAGCTTTGTGTTTGTTTAAATTCTTTCGATTATGTGATGATAAGTGAACTATCTTGTCTCTAAATGGCAAATCAAAAGAAAAAGAATTCTTTAAAGATATTGTAACTAAAAACATTAATATACTGATATTTTTATCATAATAATATATTACTATATTATTAAGTCAATTAGAATTTGGACTGAATTTTTAAGTAAATTTATAAGCATTTTACTATAAACACCTGATATGTTAGTCAGTATTTTCTTAACCTGATATAGAACGCATGGTTTATTTTTTTACCATGAGACAACATTTCAATACATTAAGCTGTAAATTAATAGACATGAAGCTATATTAATTGTAGAAGTATTTGAAAAATCAAAATATAACATAAACTTAGTTTTCTTAATAAGCAATTGTATTATGGGTTATATATAATTTTCAATACTTGCAACAATTGCTTGTTAACATTTTTATTTACGCACACACACACACTCACACACGAAATAAAAACTTCACAAAATTATTTTTTTAACTCCTCCCCCCAACTTCCCAAAAATATACATCACCACTTCAAATGGGTAGAACCGACCATTACCATCATCTTTACTAAAAAAAAAAAAAATCTACAATCATATAGATCAAAGTACAAAAGTAACACTCAAAGTGTTTTTGAAATAATTAGAAGTGACCCTGCCCAAACAATAAATGCAAAAATTTGATTTTTTTGTATTTTCAGACTATTGGGACCAAATATATATATATATATATATATATATATATATATATATATATATATATATATATATATATATATATATATATACATATATATATATATATATATATATATATATATATATATATATATATATATATATATATATATATATATATATATATATATATATCTATATTATATATATATATATATATATATATATATATATATATATATATATATATATATATATTTGCTGCAAGCTTCTATCTTGGAAGCTGTAAGACTATTATTCTTAACATAAACTCCATATACTTGCTTCATATGGTGTATCTTGAAAAAATTTTAAAATTATTGTTCCTTACAAACTGCAGAATTAAATTTGTCCTTGATGGGCAACACTCTCCTTCATTTCCAGTAACTTTTGGGGCACTATAAGGTTCCATTTTTGAACCTGTTTTGTTCCATATCTACATAATAGATCTTTCTTATAATCTCAATTCTATGTGGCTCATGATAGTACCATAGTAGTACTCAATTCTATGTGGCTCTATTTGCTGATTGATCAATCAAGAGAATATTAAACAGACTTTCAGAGTTTAATGCAACATGCCTTGCCATTAAAATTTTGAGAAATACATTTTAGACTTGAAAATAATCACATATTCGAATGTGACTTAAATTCTGTGTGATTCAGTAAGAATTATAATATGTATGACTAAACTTTGACACTTCTTCTTTTAAACCAATATAGGTTTTGATGCTGCTCGGATCCGCCCAAGAATAAATTAACTATTTTTAATTCAAAAATTACTCTACCTAATTTTTTTATTTTTGTGTGGAACTTGACAGCTATTTACAATATAACTAAATAATATTATTACAAAAAAAAATAATTTTTGCAACTTTAAGACCTGATGATAATATAGCGTTAAAATAATTCCTATAAATTGATATATCCTCAAAATCTTCTGCAAGTTGAAGAAATTAAAAAAAAAGCTTTGTTTTGTTTAAAATTATGTAAATAAATAATAAGTATAAACCTTCGTAAGTATAAAGAAGAAAAAATGAAGGATGTTTAATAATTCATGTATAAATTTCATATAAAATCAACTTCCTGCTTAAAACATGATTTTATGTTTGAATTTAAAAAAATTATCTAAACACAAGAATTAAATATATTGTATTTTAAAGGAAAACAAGTCTGAAAATAGCAATATTAAATCTGTCTGAAAAAGCTAAATACAAATACAAAGTATTCACTTGAAACAGCAAGATAGATAGTTAATCAAATAGGTAATAAGAACTTATAAAAAATTATTAAGCGTGTTATACAAGATCAACAATTGGTATATGAAATTATTAAAAACATTGGCACAGAAATAAAAAAAATGTCTCCATAAAAGGGACTTACGTTTTTATTGAATAACGGTTTTACTGAATCTCAGTACATGGTAATAGGATAGGAGAGTACAGATTTTTATCTGCTTTAGACTGCTATTCTAGAATCTAAAAAATAATTTAGACCTGATTGCTTGGAGTGAGTATTTCAGCTTAAAAACGATCTCATTTTTCTACAGCATGGGGCTTTTTTGTAGTTGAACCTGCCCTATTCAGCCAAACAATAACATTTCTGAACAATTACACAGTGTTTATGTTGTTATTAACAACCAATTGTTAACAACTACAAAATGTTTATAATGTTGTTGTTGACAACTAATTGTTAACAATGACAAAGTGTTTCTAATGTAAACACTTGATAAAGTCAAAATATTTAACTATTGAAATATTTAAAAAATAGTTTTAACATAACTAAAGTAGTTCAAAATAAAGTCATCATAAAGTCATCATAAAAACATCAACTGCAAAACGCAAAAATATTATGATTATACCATATTACTATATCTATTGTTATTATTTAACAATGACCTATTTTATATGTTTAAATTATATTATTCCTTTATTTTGATTGTTTAAATATTCTTATTTATGTTAAAATCGTTCTTTTCAATGAAATACATTTTATAAAAATCTATTAAAGAAACTTAAATCTATTAAAAACATCAAATTTATTAAATACATTAAATCTTTTAAATCCATTTAAAAAAATAAATTTGGTGAACAAAAACAAGTGAAAAACATGAGGAATTTTACCTCAAATGTTAAAGAATTTAACCTTAATATTTTTAAAATTTAACACGGTGAAAGAAAAGAATTGCATATATGAAATCAGAATGATAAATTCTTTACAAAAAATATTGTTTGTTCCGAAAAAGAAAAAAACTTATTTTTGTTGGCCAATCTAATTTTATGTCATATAGAAACGCTACTCATATAATATTTGGCAATACAATCTGAATGTGTTGTTAAATATTATGAGTGTAGATCAAAGATTGATGCCAAATACTATATGAGTATAAGATCAAACATTGATTGTTGACCTTATAATAGAGTAATGGTTGTTTGATGGTTGATATCACATTGGGGGAAAGGAACATGATATAGAAGCATGCAACTAGTGAAAATATTCCTTTTAAGTTTTAAATTTAAAAGAAATCATTTAAAAAAAAAAAAAACTTTGTTTTAGGCCTAGGTAAAAAGTATTAAGAAAACCAAAGCTAAAGACGAATATCAAAAAGAAAATTTATTTGGAGTAAAATAAAATATTCTCCAAATAATAAAATAAAAACCCTATAACTAGACTCATTCATCTAAGTTTGTATTCATATGGATTGCGTATACAATACTATGTTAGTAAAAAAAAATGATTTGAAAAGTTGTGAAAAAAACAATTTTTAATGCAATTTCTAAAAAAATACAAACTTACATCATAGATTAGTAAACTATGACCAGACAACTTGCAACCTGTAACCTGTTGTTTTTTTAACCTGTTTTTGTTCTTCTTTTTGAACAATTCTATTTTTTTTTTCCTATTTTTTTTAAATGTAAAACTTAAAAAAACATGTATATATAACATCTCAACAAAAAAATGTAAAATAATTTTATAAAAGTAAAAACTTACCCAATAGAATATGTTCTGACTTGTGATTTTTAATGTGTTAGCATTAACTAAATAATAATTGATTTATAAATTATAAATATAAAATACTAAGTATGTTGCCAGATATGTTAAATATTGTAAAAGAATAAAAGGGGACAAGGTTTCTAGAGGTGCCCCCCCTCCCTTAGTGATGCCCCCCTAATTGTTACCGACCAACATTCTTAAACATTACTTATGTTTGAGTTTTTCCAGTTTCTCTGAACGTAAGCAAATGGTTTAAAATGGCGTCTTTTTGTTGGAATTCTAGGCATTTTTAAAATAGAAGAATTTCACTATGAGTGTAACAGGGCCATAGGAACAAAAATTATATTGGGGGGGGGGGGCAGTACTAACACCAAATAGTTTTAAGGACCTTTTTTTTTTTCAAAGTCATTTTTTCAGTCAATTTCTTCAAAATTATTCATTTGAAAAATTATTGGGGGAGGGGGGAAGCAAATACCTCTGCTACCTACCCAGTTTCTACGGGCTTGTGTAACTAAAGTAGCGTACGCTACTTTAGTTAAGCTAAATATAAAATTTTTTATTTAGAACAATTATTTTTAAGATTTTAATAAGCTTTAGGTTGCAAATATTACATCTATAAATAATGTTACACAAAAGGTAGAAAGAGGAGGTCAAGATAACAAGTGGAAAAAGAAACAATAGGGGGTATCACGCTTAATGGACGGCCGCCTACGCTATTTATATTTAACAAATAATTATTATTGAGATTTAAACATTTAGTAACTACTAAAACTACATAAAATAAGCTTTACTATAGATATATACAACTAAGTTTAAAAATAACTAACTTAAAAAATGTTAACTTTTAAATAAAAGTTAACATTTTATCTATAGTACATGTAGCAAATTTTATATATATATATATATATATATATATATATATATATATATATATATATATATATATATATATATATATATATATATATATTATATATATATATATATATAGTATAATATATTATTCTCATACATTTTTAAATTATTGTAACTGTTATTTTTATTTGTAATAAAGCCTTTACTTTCTTCTTCAAAAGTTTTCGTTTCTTTTTTTCTTTTTTCAAAATTTAGAAGTGAATTATAGTGAAAAATTAGTGAGCAATAGTGATCAGTTGTTCATTCATTAAAAAGTTAAATTTGTGTAAATTTGTATATTATATTATTTCACTATTATAGTGAAATAATATAATATACTTTCCTCAGTAGCAAATTTTCTTTTTTTTAGAGATCTATCTTTTTTAAGTCACTACCTTTCTTGCAGCTTTGAATTACTGAAGGTTTAATAAATAGAGCTAAAGTATTTGTTATTAATTCTCTAAGATCAGTGTACATGTATGGAACCATTGGTTGATCAGTCTGATAGAGTGTCAAGTAGGTTTTAAACAAGCTGGCAACATAACTAAAAAATAATAATATACTTATTCTAGAAAATATATTCTTCAAATCGAGATTAGCAAATATTCGTCAAATTGAGATAAGCATTTCTTGTGGATTTGAAATTGGATTTTAACATTGTAAAGAACTCTTCAATTGGGTTTAATTTAGGGGAGTATGGTACTAAAAACTTGTGTGTAATATTTTTCTCTCTTAGTAATTGAAGACTGCAGCTACTTTTGAAATTTAAATTATAAGATTATAAGAATAATATTATAAGATTATAAGAATAATATTATAAAAATTTTATTTGGATTTACTGCAAATAATGGTCCTAGTTTGTTGTTGATGAAATCAATAAATGATTGTGTATTTTATGCCCTGCTTTTGTAATGGAAACATTCAACTCCTAAATTAGAAATTAGGCACATGAGGCTAACATTTTATCCTTTATTTGCAGGAACTGTCGTGTATACTTTTGTATCTTTTGAAGAAGAACATTATGAGCACACTGTATGTTTATTGAATCAAGTTTTGTCTAAAAAAAACAAATTTGAATAAGCAATTCTAGTAACTTCTGCTGCAAAAATTGATCTCTGATTTATTCTTTGCATGGTGTTTCTTTCTTAAGGAATGATTGCTAATCTTTTTTGTGTCAAATTTAACTTCTTTAATCTATGGGAAAAAAATGAGATCAAAACGTTTTTATCATGTTGTTCTAAAATTTGCATTTGAATTTCTTTTTGAATTATGGCATTGTTACAGACCATGGAATTAAATATTGTTTGTTCGATATTTGTATTTATAGAATTTTTTATTTTATACACTTCATTTCTTTTTACTGTAGATGATGTGAAGGGTTGCCACTATAATTTTAAAAGTTTTTCCCTGATTATTCCCTGAGTAAAGAACATTTTCCCCTGATTTTAGTTTTTTAAAATCTCTGAGTTTTCCCTGAGTTTTCTAGATTCAATATATATATATATATATATATATATATATATATATATATATATATATATATATATATATATATATATATATATATATATATATATATATATAAAATATTAATTATATATAATATAATATATAGTATAATATAATTTAAATAGATTCTAAACATACTAAAAGTCATAAAATAATGGAATTTTTTATTTATTTATTCTAAAATTAAACACAAAAAATAGTTTTTTATTTACAAACTTTATCAATAAGTTTTTTCTTTGCTTTTAACAGTTCTAAAACTGAACCTAACTCTTTTGATTCTTTTGGCTGTTAAGAAAATCTAATTAATTTTACAATGTTGTTCCATATTTCAATTAAGCGATCAGCAACAATTTGGTCTTTAATCCATCTTGTTGAACAGAAACTTAATGGATACTGATTTGAGCCAGTAACACTGTTACTGTCATCTCTCCTAGCCGAAGTATCATGGAGTATTTGGTATTCTCCCTTAAGAATACTTTTTAGATTCCATGATGTAGAACCTAATTTAAAAGCTCCATGTACTACATGCAAACTACAACACTTAATGTCAAGTAAAGAATTTAATACGCACTCATTATGGTATATGGAAAGTTCTTTAAAAAATTTCCAATTAGTACTAGACCCATCCATAGATACTTGGATCATATTTGAAAAATCTTTTTTTTCAGCGCATATTCTAAAAAATTTTTGAAATCTTTTAGAATATGCGCTGCAGAAGAATGGCTAAGAAATACAGAATTCAAATATTGCACATTAACCTTTTGCCACTTTGCTATCTGGAAAAATACTAGTAAATAATTCGCTCAAATTAGCAGATGTATTGTTTGACAATCCATTCATAACAGATTTGTTTCTTCATTGGAAGTAACAACAAAATCTAAAGATTTTTGACCCACTGCCAGGGGTAGTAGTTGTAGTAGGGGTAGCAGGGGTAGTGTTGGTGTAATAGTAGAATGTTTTACAACAGGTTTGAAAAAGTGACTTTTAAATTTAGCTAAAACATTAAACTGGTGCTTTTTACCTTCATTATGACTCTTAACTGCCTGAACTCGTATATTTGACAAATCAAAAGTTTTACAACAGCTGCTACATCTAGCAACTTTATTGTTGTCAGTCTTAACAAGCCATTCTTTATACTCTGGGTGATTAAGCCAATCATTTGAAAAAATTGTTTGATCCATTTTAATTATTAATAAATCTTTAAAAAAAATATATTCTTCTTACAACCAAATTACATATATTTATAGATTTAATGATGAAAGATTATAAATTTATATATAAAACATTTTTATATAACTTATTAAATCAAACTTTACTCAGTATTTTAGTATTTCCTAATAAAGCCCATAATGAAAATTTTGCTTAAAATAATTAAATAACTTAACTATAAAATATAAATTTAAATTTAATATTGAAAATAAGTAAACCATACAAAATTAACATCAAATGTAAAATCTCATAAAAAATTATGATAATATATATTACGAATTTATCATAACTTAAACTATTGTTAATAATTTAATAAAAAATTATTTTCAAAATTGGAAAAAATTATTCCCTGAATATTAAATTAAAAAAAATCGGCAAACCTGGTATATTACTATCACTATATTTATAACACAACAAACAGCATTTCGAGTTAAAATGCAAGCATATTTCCTTGATTGAATATTTTTCACAATTTCTCTCATATTTTAAGTTTTTTTCTGTAACTACTATCTGTACTTATCTTTCCATTAATATTCAAAATATAAGAGTTAAAATTAATTTTATAAATGCACTTATAACTTTGCAAACGTGCACTTTTAACTTTGCAAACATGCACTTATAGCTTTGCTAACACGCACTTATAACTTTGCAATCGTGCATTATAACTTTGCAATTGTGCACTTATAACTTTGCAATTGTGCACTTATAACTTTGCAAACGTGCACTTATAACTTTGCAATTGTGCACTTATAACTTTGCAATTGTGCACTTATAACTTTGCAAACATGCACTTATAACTTTGCTAACGTGCACTTATAGCCCTGTAAAATGGAAAAAAAAAAACATATTTTCTTTTTTTTTTTTATAAGTAATTAAGTTTATTAAAAAAAGTAACATTGTTAATGTCAACTTTTTTAAACCACCTCCCCTTGTTAGCAAATGTCAAAAAATATCAGACCTCAACCCCTTTTTTTGTTGACAGTTAATGAACAGCTTCTAAGGAATAATAAAGCTAAAATGGTGATGGTGATTACTACAAATTACCATTAAGTAGTTATCAGGCTAGAAAAAAAAAAATCTTTTTCTTTAATAAATTTAAATTGTCATCACCAGTATTGAATCAAGAAAATTTAATAGATTCAACAGCTTTTAAGCAAGCTTAAAGAACAAGCAAGATCTTACCTTATTGAAAACATTCGTATTTATAACCTATTATTATTGGTCTAAAACAATATTTTTTATTATTATTACTACTTTGCTATTATTACTACCACTCCAAGATCAGTGATTGTTATGTGATCTATATGTTTAATGTGATTAAGATATTTGATGTGATCCACCATGTCATCCACATTTAATTACTACAGCCAAGGAGTTTTTTTCTAATAGTGATAACAATCCTATCTGAACTCTTTAACTCCAAAACATGAGTCTTGACAAACAAGACCACTGCACGGCAAGTTGAGCACAGTCCTGATAGTAACAAATCTTAAATTGAGATAAGTAGTTTTAGGAAAGGTTAGCAAAACTCAACTCACCTATAAATTTTAATAGACAGAAACTAACACTGAGATTTTAACCTGACAGTTTAATTTCAGTGGAAACTAACACTGAGACTATTCAGTGGAGTGTGATGATAGAAATTCAGTGGAGCGTGATGATAAAGATAATAATCTTAAAATGAGATAATGTACCTTAACCATAAAAACTGTAAAAAATGATAAAATAAAACTTACTATAATATGGTAAACCACTATAATTTCCAATTAGTGAATTTGTATTACAACAAAACAACCTTCGATCTTTACTTGCAGTAAATGGTAAAATTAAAGATGGCAGTTGCAATACCTTTTTTTTTGTATCAGTTAATCTTATTGAAGTTTTATTGAAGTAATTATAAGACAAAATATTTCCAAATTTATCTTCAAAATAAATAGTTTCTGTTATACTATCAAAGCATATTGGTTCTACAAAAATAGCAGAAAGTCCTAAAAAAATAACAAATTCATACATTATTTTTATTTTATTACAAGCAAAAATCACCTAAAATAACATAATGGTAATAATGTTAAACAATGTTTTTTTTTCAAAAATGATGATTTATCTAAATTACAGTTAGTTAAAATAAATGTAGAAAAAAAGCAAAGAGAATGCACACACACACACACACACACACACACACACACACACACACACACACACACACACACACACACACACACACAAGCACAAACACAAACACAAACACACAAACACACACACATATACACACACACGGCAAAAAATTGAATAACTTTTATACATAGATAACTTTTATAACGGTGGTTAGGTTGGCTTTGAATGAATGCCTTCTTTAATTCTGAGGGCGGTATGTAAGTATAACAAAAATTTCTTAAATTTTAAGTGAAGCATAAAAAAGTTTATTACTTGTAAATGTTGTTGTATTTTTAGATGACAAAATTCCACAATAATTTCTTGTTCTAAATATTTATAAATAATAAGAATAAGGATTTATAATGACAGTAAATAAAAATTGTAAATATAAAGTATAAAAAAATAATCTTGGACATTTAATATGGTGCAACTAGTAATAATAATATAGTAATAAATGCTATATAGTAAAAAAAAAAAAAAAAAAAAACTTTTAAAAAGGAAGAATATATCAGTTTTTACCCTAAAAATACATTTGGAATTTATTAAAAATAGTTTACACCCTAATACATTTAGAATTTATTAAAAATAGTTTACACCCTAATACATTTAGAATTTATTAAAAATAGTTTACACCCTAATGCATTTAGAATTTATTAAAAAAAGTTTACACCCTAATACATTTAGAATTTATTAAAAATAGTTTACACCCTAATACATTTAGAATTTATTAAAAATAGTTTACACCCTAATACACAAATAAAATCATCTTAATATAAAATTTTACGGAAGAAAAATATTTAATATTATCAGAATATATATTGTTATGGCAATATTTTGCAACATTTATTACCTATCTATTGCCCTTTCACATACAAGAAATACGTTATTGAATTGAAGCAGTGAAAGCCTATCACCAATAAATTTACGATTTCCGGCTAAAAAACAGAAACAAATGCAATCATAAATAAACAACTGAGTGCTAATGCATGATTATGTTCAAGTGGTACCTTGCTACTTTAGGTAAGTATAGGTTACCATGGTGCTTGGTTATAGTATTTTACTTATTAGAATTTATGATTATTTTGACTGCCTCCTCAAGGATATATATATGATAAATAAATAGATCTATATACTATTTCTTTTTAGATTTTTCATTTGTTTGTTTTTTATTTTATATTTGATACTTATATGTTTTTTATTTTATATTTGATCTCTTTATAGATATGTTGTTTTAGCAACTACAAGGTAAAATATTTATATTTGTTTTGATAATTTGTCTTTTAATTTTGCTTGCAAAGATTTTTTAATTATTTAATAAATTATTTTATTCTATTGGGCAATTTAGAGTAGTACAAAAAGAGATAAATATTTTAATGAATTTGTCTTACTTTTAATAATATATGTTTAATGAAAGTAATGTCATTAAAATGAATGATAGGCCAGATGAAGTTATGCATTTACAAAATGATGTAAATGCTCCAAGGCGTGTTGAAAATAATCACTGTCGAAATGCAAGAGCTAGGCAAGATAAAATTAATCAACTATAAAATGTTAGAAGTGCTGCTCGACAAGCAGAAAATAATTTGAACTTAAATGAAGATGATCATGTTAGGCAAGTTAAAAATAATCAATACAGAAATAATAGAGATAAAGGTTTGTGCAACCAAATTAATTCTTGCAGAATAAAAGAAGAGCTGCTCCAAGAGCAGAAAATAATTTGAACTTGAATGTGGAAGATGCTGTTAGACGAGTTATAAATAACTCTCACAGTAATGAAAGATATAGAGCTAGGGGCGATGAAATTGATCTTCTTTAAAATATTAGAAATGCTGTTAAACCAGGAAGAATGTATTCTATAGCAAGAGGTAATGCTATTCCAGATTTTAATTATTTCGGAGAAATGAATCAAATTTGTCAGCATTGTGGTGCTAAGAAATTTCTAGATAAAACACATTTCCTTTGTTGCAATAATGGTAAAGTAGTTTTACCTCCACTTTAACCATTTACACATGCTTTACAGGATTCATTTACAGGGAGTTGTGTAGATCATAATGCTAATGGTAATTTTTCAAAACATGTTCAAAATTATAATGCCTATCTTTCTTTTGCTTCTTTTAAAGCAAATGTAGTTTAACCAATAAATCATTGGCCTCCATGTTTTAAAATATGTGACCAGATTTATCATCGTGTAGGTAATCTTAGGCCAGATCAAGATATTCCACCAATATATTCTTAGCTATATATTTATGATCCACTTGCAGCAGTAGATTTTAGAATGCAACAACGTGGTAATGATCTTTGTTTACAATACTTAATGTTTCAATTGCAAACTATAATTATGGAACAAATCCATTTGCTGTTGCATTTAAAAATATGGCTGAAGTAGAAGATGAAGAAATTTGTCAAGTGGCTATAGAAGGTCGCTCAGCTTCTGTTGTAAAAATGTCTTTACTTAAAAGGGGTGATAGACATCCCTATAATCTAACTTCAAATAATGAAGTTGCAGTTGTATTTGTTGACGAAGATAGTGCTTCCTCAACTTCCAGGGAAGTTGTTATTAACCCAAGAGGTCATTCTTTAAAAATTGTATCAAGTATGTCAGCCAACTTGGATTCTATGGTTTATACACTCTTTATCCCAAGAGGTGATGCTGTTTAGCATAATTAGTTAGTGCATAGCCCTGAGCATGCCACACTGGTTAGAAATCATGTTACATTATCTTAGTTCTACAATTTTTTTTTTTTTAAACATCTTCACTTCCAACAAGGCTGCAAGCAACCACTAATTAGTGTTGGAAGTTACTGGATGAAAAAAGATCAAGATTGTAGAGAAAGATAATGATCGACATATGACTTAAAAGATCGCAAATTATATGAATCAGGAAAGCAAGATGAAGGAAACAAATTCCAAAGAACTGATGTTCCAGGAAAAAAAACTAGAGGAAGAAGAATTTTTGGAACACTTAGGAACAGTAACAGAAAACAAAAACATATTGAATATAATATCAATGCCTAAGCTAGCTTTTTAGTCATAAGTCAGTTATAAATCCATGCATAGGTGTTTAATCCATCATGGTTTTCTGGAGTATGGCTGGGCTGCCTTGGCTTAGTTCAAAGACAAATCTTTTACGCTGGTTACTAACAATACAAGACTCTACTGAGCGACATAAACAGCACAGACTTACACATTACACCTATACACCCTTATGCACATACAGCCTGTTAACATCTTTTGCATGCTTTTTGTTCTTTCATAGATAAACTATCTTTGTTTGAACTCATCCTTATTTAGATAATATTTTCTTTTAATAGATGTGTTGTTGAAATGTAGATACAGATTTGTATGTTATCTATATGTGTTTATCATGTGTGATTGAATTTTTCATTAAAGGATTTATATGCATATACATATAAGCATAAGAGCGATTCTTATAAACTAGCGGCTTTCGACTTGTTTTTATGAAGTATGTTTTTCCTTGTTATTTTGTTATGGTCTCAAAGTTATTTAATTCGGATCGTAGAGAAAACTTAATTTTTCGGAAATTTCGATTTAGATATGGTTTCAAAGTTTCTTTTTGTTCGGACTAGAGAAAACTTTATTTTTCGGAAATTTCGATTTAGATATGGTCTCAAAGATTCTTTTAGTTCGGACCGTAGAGAAAACTTCATTTCTTAACAATCTTTTTTCCCGCTTTCTACATCGTTTTTATATCACGATTTATATCATTGTTATATTACCCACAACTAATTTTTTAACCACTCATTTGGCTTTTAATTATCTGGTTTTATTACAATATTTATTTAGTCTTATTGCTATATTTATTAATATATTACTTATCTCCTGATTTTCATATTATTACTGTTTACAGTAACTTTCATGTTATATTATCTTGCATTCATTACTCAGCTTTGTTTTAATTTTCACATGCACAATTTTTATCTTTATTATTATTCAGAGAATATTTTTATATCCTTCATTTAATGTTTACATAAATGTCGCTTACATTTTAAAGGTTTTTGTGCAACGTTCTTTTTCGCTATCATATATTATTCTATTATTGTTATGATTTTGGGTTTCGCGGGTTACTCATTTTCCTACACTTTTGATTGGTTATCATATTTCGAATGAGGTATCTGTGACAGCGTTAGAGTTTATTTAAGGGTATTGTTTTGTTTATTAAAAAATTTTTTTAATGAGGTATACTGCTTTCTGATTATCTTGGGCTTGTTTATGCTAATAATACCTATTTGGTTTTGTTTCTCAAAATAAATTGATTAATATTTTTATGTTTCTATTAGAATTTTAATTTATTTTGTTTTCATGTTTTCTTTTGGTGGTACGGTAAGTGTTTTATTTAGTTATTTTTATTTTTGTTTGTTCAGTAAATCTATACTTTTTATATCATATCATTAAAAAAAATATTGGTGCTTTACAAATTTGGGGTTGGTTGGGTTTTGGCTATTTGTAGTGATTCCTTTTTTACTGCAGTATGGAATAGGCGTAAGTCGCGGGGTAAAGCATAAGTGGCGATGACGTTTGTCTGACGGGATAAACTAGCTATAAATGCTGATCCTCATCGAAACGCCAGTAATAATAGACGCGACTCTGAGGAGATGTTTATTACTTATCACTACACTAATTATGTTTACACATTAATTAGCATTAATGTTTTTTTTCCATTATTAGTCCTTTCATTGTTGTTAGAATATTTTTAATTTGTTGAATGGTTTTTTGTTTTACAAATTGTTGACTGGTTATGTATTTCTTGTACATTTTAGTTTATATTGATATTTATAAAACAATTTTTTATTTTTTATTTATATATATATATATATATATATATATTATTATTATTATTTGTTTTTATTTTTTTAATTTTTTTTTTTTTTTTTTTTTTTTATTGTTATTATGGTTAAGTACTGTTTTGGTTGCATAGCTTGTCTTATTTATTTTTAAATATTCCTCTAATAATCTTTATTTTTGTCTTGACAACTGTCAAAATATGCTTTGTCTAATAAATAATTCTCCTTTATTCTAATGTACTTCATTTCTTCCCTCAGGCGTTCACTGCTCGTGTGTGACCATTCGGCGAATTTTATATGCCAAAGTTTTTAAATTATAATATCAAGTTCCAGTATGGCAACCAACTGGACCCAGCAGACTGGGGTTGGAAATTAGTAGGTAATACATTGGAACCAGTTCAAACTTTACTCCCACCTGGTTTAGAAAAACCATTTTTTTGCAATTGCAAATAGGGTTATAGGCAAAAAAGTCGGGTTATTGTGTTCACAATTATGTAATAATTGTCGAGGACAGTCTTGTTCCAATGCTGAATCAAATTTTAATTTCCATGAACAGACATGTTTTTGCAGCGTAAGAGTTTAAAGAAAAACTGTAGAGTTTTTAAATCTTCAGTATATTTTATTTTTCTTGAGAAATAAAATTATTTGTTGTATCATTATTAATCATAAATTAATCGTAAATCATTATTAGAAAAACAATATTTTTTATTGATATTATTGTTGGAAACTTGAAAATATTGAAAATGGCAGATTAGAAAGAAGTCGAAAAGTGACGAGAGTGAATTTTAGTAGATGGCACAAGATGCTAGCTCTTTAGAGCAGTGCCCATTATAGTATTTGTAGAAAAGAGAAAGAGAAGCAATATTACGACGATGTCACAGAGGTTGAAGGTTGGCTTCAAGAGCAGGTCCAACTATGTTTACAATGCGTTTTTGCATCTTGTCTAAAAGAGAAAGGGCATCATTAGAAGATCCACCCCAGATATGGCAACAGTATTCCATATACAAGGACAGATTTAAGATTTATAGAGATAGAGAATAAAATCCAGAGTAAGAAAGTGCCGAGCTCGATATAGAGATGCAACTTTAGCAGATGCTAATTTTGCAACAGATTTGATATAAGGTTTCCAAGAGAGATCAGAAGTAAGAGTTGATCCTAGAAGATGAAGGGTAGATGACTCATTGAGTACATTACCGCTCATAAATATAGGAAAGTCAAAATTATTGCGATAATGATTGGCTGAAAAAAATTGAGTTTAATCTGAAGTAAAGTTCACCAGCCACTGAGAGCCCCATGCTGTAGCAGAAGTGAAATCCTTTTCAAGTTTAAATGCCCCCTGCAAGCAATCAGAGGGAGTTGGCTTCTTATCATGACTAGAAAAAATGGTTGTATCATCAGCAAACAATGCC